CCTGGATTTCTGTAAACTTAGGAAAGGTGACAATTGGCAGTTTATTTCCTGTTTCTCATCTGTTTAGGCTGCAGCTGTCGGAGCATGGACTGTTTGACTCTACTATAACCTGTCCCTGTACCTGGTGTCACTGTGCCACCAGCACCAAAACCAGCCTGGACCACGTCAAATGCAAGGAAACGATTCCTCTGATCCACTGAGCTCAGGATGAACTTCAGCAGCCTCTTGCTGGCACGTAATCACTCAACAGAAGCTGCATTTCTCTGCATCCCCATTCCAGGCAGGGCCTCTGTGTCCCTGACTGAAAGAAGGTCAAATAGCCCATATCTCTTCTTAATTTTTAATCGCAATTTCATGCTGTTATTTCAGCTGCTGGAGGCAGCTGCTGCAGTTGCTGGTGTGCCTGGTGAAAGGGATGTCCTCAGTGGGGAAAAAAAAGGACAGCTTTATTTAAGAGATAAACAAGAAGAGAACAGCAGGTCTGAGTCCAATAAAACAGTCAATGCTTTCCTGTACTTTGCTTTTCAATAAATAGCAAGAGATGGCACGATCAGAGATAACAACTGCAATCCCAGACTGCCAAGGAAGACCTGTGCAAACCTCTCCTCAGTGCAGCTGTGTCTCAGACTCCCACCTCCTTCCACAGCCTAATGAAAGACCCATTTGGATCAGTCTTTTCCCAGTGCAGAAGGGCTCCCCCAGCTCTGCTCTGACACAGGTGCTAGCAGAGATCCTCGTGCAGCCAGCGAGGAAGGAAAACTTTTTTCAGAAGCTGGTGGGGGCCTCCTAATTGCTACTGGAAATATTTCCAAAGCAGCAGATCAGCTAGCAGCCCCAGCTCCATCCCAGAGGCAAACACAACTCATTTGTCATGTTTCAACAATTTTTCTGCTGCTCATACAGTGTAATTAATCACTTGGCGGGCAGGAGAACACACACACAGGACTGAAAAGGCAGCTCATTCTTTGACATGCAGCAATTGTCCTGTACTTTGTTAAGAGGCAGATTCACTCTCTTATTTACAGGTGAGAGCAGGAAAAAAAAGGGTAAGTGGCAACTCAGTACAGCAACAATGAATAAGGAACAAACAGCTTTGTTTAAAACAAGGGCCCTGCTGTTATTGTACCTCACAACATGCTCTTCCACTAGGTTTGCATGTGTGGCTTTTGGGCATTGATTTCAGATGAAAAGGCAACTACTCACACATAAAAATATATGATCTGTCCCTTCACAAGCAGCTGCTCAGGTAGGGACCCTGTTAGCTGGCGGTGAGAGGCTCCAAGACCTGTCACTTAACCCTCTCTTTTGTCATCTTTGAGATGCTCTAGAGTCAGGCTCCCTTTAAGTCTGAACAGACAAGATACATCAGGTGAAGAGCTGAACAAGGAGCTCCTGTTGCTGACTCCCTTTTCCCTAAGGGATGCTCAGACAGATGAGCACCTAGACCCAGGTCTCTGCTTCTCTGCCATGCAAACCTTGGCCAGGGAGCTGCAGCTGCAGCCAGCCTCATTCCCTGAGTCCTGTGGCTAGTGCTCCCAGCTGGCCAGGTGCCCGGGAAGGCCTGGAGCCAGCCATTTGGAAATCCTAGACACAGGCACCCTGCTTTGTTTGAGCTGGCTGAATCTGGGTCTGGGCTTTCACACACATACTTCAGCTCTGGACTTTGTGTGGGTTACCATCTCCAAAAGGCTATCCAAGGGCTCTGAAGTGCTACCAGATGTTTGCCACAAAGCAAACTGGACTAGGGAGACTTTTGTCTCCCTTCAAACTGAAGCCAAAACAAGAGTTGGGGCCGTAGCAGCAAACACTGTGAAAGGAATTCAGGAGTGATAAATTGGCTTCTGGCAAATTCAGAGCATTTCTATTATCTCCCTAAAGGCTGTGAGAGACAGAAATTATACTAATAAACAACACTTAACTGAAGCAGTGCCTCAAATGGAGCACAGTCCAGACCTTAACCAAATCAACAGAGTCTGAATTCACAGGCAGATGGGGCAGGTTTATTTGTAGATTCTGGAGCTGAGGGGTTTTACAACTGCTGGCTCCTAACTGCAACCTCAGCCTCCTAAATTCCTGTGGACCAGCTTTCTCTGGTCCAAAGGGAAAACACACTCTTTGCAGGCTGAATCAATGCTGATGGAAATCAGTGGGAGAGGTCTCACTGAATGTAGTCATGTAGTAACTAAGTGCTGCTCTTTGCATTTGCATATCACACCCTAAGAGACCTAAGCTCAAAGGAAGAGCTCTCCATTTACCTGAGATGTCACTCACACAGCCTCTCAATATAGACCCTTAGGAACCTTCCATGGAATGGTCTTTGCATTTTGAAGTGCAGATACAATAGTAATTTTTTTTCTCCTTTTTTAGACCCAGTTTTCAGACATTAAAAGTTTGGCAGCTTTTGCTCTCCTTTACGCTGAAAAAAAACCCCAAAAGTAAAAGCAGATCATTTCGAAAAAGTCAAATGAAATGCCCCAAGTTCCTGGTATCAGGGGATTTTATGTATCGATTTAAATAAATTGCACCCAGTTGGTTGCAATTAAAGGCTGGAGACCTGGCAGTTTCTTCTTCCCCATTTGACTCAACATATATAAACAGCTAGATCAGTGCAGCCCCTTACTGTGGCTCCTGCCACCTCATCCCACTTCCTGGAATTACCTGGAATTCACCTCTTCAGTTTGCTGCCTGTGGGCTTCAGAAAGCTACAACAGAGGGAGTGGGTATTTGGGAGGGGAAGGAAAAATGAAAGCAGGGGACAGAAGGAGTAATACAGGACAAGGATAAATCTCCCCTTCTTCCTCACAAATCACAGTGTGAATACAGAGACAGCATAACAATGAACCAGCTCAGTACCTGCCTTTGTGGAAGCACAACCCCCTGAGAGGAATAAAAAAGGGTTGCATTCCCTTTTAAAGTATCTATTTGTGCCATCGCAGCAGTTGTATCCTTCTGCTGCCTGAGAATTTGACCTCACCTGAGAATCTGACAGACATGCAAAGGTATAATGGGATGAAAATCAGATTAGACAGGCAACTACCATTTGTGCCACTGGGAGCTGTCCATAAATGTGACTACAGCACCAGGAATTCACACTCAATAAGGGCTGGGAGGCGCAAGGGTAGCTCGTATATTTTCAGTCCGTGTTTCCTTCAGAAGGGGGAACAACTGCCAGGAATGGTGATAATCTCAAATCCACCTGCCCCTCGATTCTCCCGTTTCATCAGACTGAACACTCCAACCTCCTGCCATAGCAGAGGATCCTCAAAGGCACGCACCGAGCCTGTTCACAGCCTCTTCCCAGTCTTCAGCTGACATCTAGCGAACATTTTCCAAACTGCACCTGGAGGACCTGGAGGTGGGAGACGGACCGAGCCCCTTGGTGGGCGGCGGTGCAGAGCTGTGGGATAAGCACGGGCTGTACAACAACGTGCACTGTTCCCTGTCCTCTCCCCACCGTGACAGATCACCCTGTGGGAAGGTGGGGAAGGACCTGGTTCTGCTCCCAGGCTGCACAAATCCTGCTTTTCCCCAATGAAGTGGGCAAACACTGCACTGACTCCACTGCAGTGGTGCCCTCACTGCAGGGACCATACAGGGGGCTGGTGGACATCAGGAGGAGGGATCAGCAAGGCTTCCACCACAGCACTGCCACAGCAGCTCTTTCTGACTAGGGAGGGTCACCCTCTGCCCACTGCCTCTCTCAGAATCAAATATCCAGCACTCATCAAACTCATCAGCTGCTATCAGGATTAGCAACCTCAATTCCCACCCTCAGGCTCTCCTGGAGGACAGCTGGCAGGAGAGGTGCAGTTTGCAGCCAATCTCAAGTTTGTCTTCAAGAACTGTCTCTCCTCAGCACATCTTTGGGTGACAGCAGATGTGAAATCCCTGAGGAATAAAGACTCAATGCCCATATCAGCAGCCTTCAACGAGTGTCAGATCCAGCCTGCAGTGTCTACACAGCAACAGGGGAACACCAGGAGTGTGCAGACAGCCCAGTTTAATTTTATTGCCTCTATCAGCTACTGCAGAACAGGGAGTTTGGTTTATGGTATCTATTAAGGTAACCAAGCAACAGCCCGGTGGGTATCTATGTCATCAGTTACAAAGAACCACGGGTTTACAAACAAGCAGAGAGTGGTGATGGACGCTGAGGGGAAGGAAATGTCTCTGTGCTTTTTGTATGAACACTGGAAACCATTCTGTATAACACCAAGGAGTGGTGAAACACCAGCATGCTCATCACATGTCCTTCCACAACACATGAGTATTGCTCTCACACTTCACCACCTGTGAAGGTAAAATGCTTTCCCTACTGACTTCAGGATCACTTGTAGTCTCATAACACCACTGACACACAATCCTTCTCTGAATGTACAATGCTAACTGCGCTTTAAATCTTCAGGATTTACATGGGTGGAGGTGATTAAAACCAAAGCAAAGTAAAGGAGAGACAAAGAGATGCTTAAAGAAAAATTTCAGACTGCTTTTCTTGTTAGACTGCACAGACACTGTCAAACTAAGGATAGCGATGAAGACATTTAATGGTTTGAGAATATGCCACACCTACCTGCCAAAATACTACCAAAATTTCCAAAGGTGTATTGTTTGTGCCTCCCAACAGCTGTTGAGTCCCTGTTCATTATCTGCAGAAGGTCCCTGAGGCCTTGTTCACCTACCAAGTTTGACTGATCTAATTAGACACAGATCAGTGTTTTGCACTTGTGAGGTGCCAGCGAGCTGGTACTGGTATCTGCCTTCACAGCCAAGAGGCCTGCAGGAGTATCACAATCCAAATGCTAAATACTCTCACACCAGCTGACAGCTACCCCATGTTAAATGCAGATAAACCAGAATGGATGGTTTGCTAACAGTGTGAATCTGGGAAGGAAGAGTTAATAGGTCAAGTAAAACAACAGCATTTACAACGACACAACTACACATCACTCCAGAGGCTTCCTCAGCACCCTAACATGAGACAGAATTAGTGCTTCTCTTACCTGGTAATAGTAATCAACATACTGTGGCTCATAGTGTTGAGGCTCAGAGTTTTCAGGAGACAGGACATCTTTCAGTAAGTCTTCACAGCCTGGCAAAGAGAAATGAGAGCAAATGGTCAAGGCTGAGAGTTCATCTTCCCAGATATTGCACGGACAATGGAGGAAGAAACACAGGTTTGTGGCCAGTCTGTATGTACTTGGAAGCCAGCTTTGGAATATATTTAAACAGCTGTAACAAAGCTCTGCCTTTAGAGTTCTGTCCAGCACATACTCAGTGTGTAGCACTTAGAGAAGTGCAATTCCACTAATGCCAATTCTCAGCACAGATACACTACACAGCAATGAAACTGGGAGCTGGACATTGCTTGGCTTGGTGAACCATCCTGCAGAACAGAAACTCAGCCCTGACCAACCCAAACTCTGAGGTCAAACCCTGGATTTGCAGGCTTGGCATGAGCTAGTGACTGTTGCACATTAGTGTCAGTGCAGCTGTTTCTAATTTTCTCTGGTCAAAATGACAATGGGGCAATACCTAAGTGTCACAAATTCCCCTTCACAAAAAGCTCTGTCACTGAGAGTTCAGTGTTTGGCAAGCAAGTATCTATGCCCTGCAACTGGAGATTTCCAGCTTCCGTGTTTGCTTTTGTTAACAACCACATTAAGAGCTGGAAAAATCAATGTCTCTGTTTCCCTCAGTCCTTCCCTCATCTGGCATCCAGAGACAAATATAGAAACACTGAAATCACCAAATGCCTCGTTCCCCATTAATTACCAGTGGCTGCACTTGGCATGGTGAGCAGCACAAGGCAGGAATGTCAGGCCAGGTTATTTCAGACTGTGTGAAACCTTCTCAGCATGTGTTGTACACTATTCTACTTGGAAGCTGCAATTATCCAGCAGTTATCCCTCCCTTCCATCCCATCACCAATGCAATACATTTGGCTGGGACGTTACACACCAATACCCTCTCAGGAGGCAGGTGAGCCAGAGGAAACAGGGTAGTGTAAGAAAGTGTGAACTGCACAGGTTTATACTGTTAGCTGATCTTCTCCCTTGGTTTTAAATATAGCAGTAACATCTGTAGGGATGAAGATATGTTGTGGTTAAGAAGAGTCCTTTACAAAGGAAAGAAGCACTTGAAAAACCAGAAAAGGTGAGCAGAGATGCAGGAAGCCTAAAATGGGGGACCACTATGTTGTCCCTGTCTCCTTGGAGGCAGCACTTGGGGAATGAAGCCACCCCTGAGATCTCAAGAGTGACACTTGGACAAGAGGCAGAAGGACTTTTTCCCTTTTCCAGCTTCTGCAGCAAAGTGAGATTCTGCCGAGGTACTGAACAGAGAAAAAAATGAAGCTGGTAAATGCACACTTTGCTGGAGAAGTTCATGGACAAAAATGGTGTGTCAGGGTCACTTCCCAAAGAGGAGCTCATCTGGGACTAACAATCTCCTGGCTGACAGACACCAGATGTTAACCTGGTTTGCCTAGAGAGGGCATCTTTCTATATAACCTGCCCTGCCTGTGACTCTGGCATTTCCCACCCAGCCACGACCCTTTTCTTTCCCTTGGCTTTAGCATTAAGTGTTCAGCCTGTGCCTGGCTGAGGTTATTCTCTAGTCCTCTCACAGAGGAGAATTCAATTTACGGTTTGTACCTTTTGACATTAATAACCAAAGCTTATTACTCATCAAAATGCCTTGTGCCAGCACCCACTGTGAGAGTCATTACACGTATGAACTGCTTTGCTAAAAGGTCTCTGCATGATATGGAGCAGCTACTCGTTAAAGTGAGCTATTCCCAGCAAAAAAAAGAAAATAAATGCCAAGTGCTGCACAGTAATGGGTGCAGATTAGTGTAATGAAGGAAATATGTTTACACCGTTCTAAAATTTCTCAACAACAGTATCTTCAGCCATAATTCCAAGCTTCATTTTCCTCATGCAGTTGTGCTCACAACAGTGCTTCTAGTTGAAGAGCTCTAAGCAGTCAATCTTCATTTGAGCCTGTTAGGTGAGCACCTTCCCAACCTTTTTGGTTTTGGGTGGAGAAAAGTCATGAAGGCTGTGGGTCTTCAAAGAAGGATTTAACTACCCAAAGCAATAGGTGTGAGATGTTTCTCCTCTGCCTCCTTTCAAAAGGCCAGCCAGACTGGTCTGTTAGAGAAGGTCACAAACAGATCCCAGACCTCCAGGGTCCCAAATCTAGAGTTTAGCTGCAAGGTCTCCTGTGTCCCCTCTCTGCTGTTCAGTTCTTACCTAACATTACTCCTGATCACATTCTCTCATTTTCCTTGTCCATCAGGGTGGACCACTTCATGACAGCCCTTGGCCATTTAAATTCAAGCCTGTCATTTATTCAGTAAACACACTGGGGAGAAAAGCACTGCCTCCTTTGTACCCAACCAGCTCAGAGGAAGCCCTCACCACTTCTTCACAAGAGCTCCTGGCACAGGCTTTTACAGCCTGATCCAGAACCACAATAATGATCAAGCCTTTGACCCATTTCCAGAACATCAACAGGCATTTAATCCAATTTGTTTACCTTGCTGCACAGCTGAAAATGGCAAAAGAAGCCAAATCTTGCTCAGGCCAAGTTTCTTTTGGCACAGACAGACTCGGGATGTAAGTTCATCTGAGACTATCTCCTCCTGCAAAGGTGACTTTTTGGTGGGGAGATGCCTCAGTGTGCAGCAGGCAGTGTCCCCTGGGCACTGCTTGGCATGGAGGCTGGCATGACAGCTTGGATCTCCTCATCCTCCAGGGAAGGTCTGCATGTCATTATACTCCATAAAAAAGGGAAGAAGAGAAGGAAACACTGAGAGGCCATTTTCCCCTGAGATTACCAAACCACATCATTGCTACCCTGCAGACATCTGAACCTGTCCCAACATCCATCAGATCAATGGAAAAATGGCCACTGGCTTCAAGAATCTTAGGGCTGTGCACTGGTTTTACTCCTGTTAAGAACTGACTTTAAAGAATAATTTCTCTGTTGCTCTTCTTCCCTGTGAAAACACAAATAGGAATCTCTTCCCTCTGCAGGACTGTGGTGCTGGTGTTTTCCTTGGGCCACTCCTTATCACCAAGGAGGTGGGTTTGGGCACAGTTGGACAATACATCAGCTTTCTTATTCAGTGTTTTTCTGCAACAATGCCAATACACCTCACCTTTTGCTTCCCTAACCTAATACAATTTGAATTTTCCAGGTACCCTGAGAGGTTTACACAAGGGGCATCACACAAAGAGGGAACACTGGAGTGCCTCAAATATTGTGCATATTCTTACCACCAGAATACATTGGGAAATGCCAGGGAGCTAAATTAGTGTGTCACAGTCCAGACAGAAAACAACAATGAATCAAGGTTTACTCTGGCAAATCCCAGTGTGGAAATATGGACAAAAACTGGACAGAGATTTGCAGAGGGAGCAGCCTGGTCTGGAACACACTCCTGAGCAGAGCTGTGGTGCTGAGGCTGCAGAGCTGCCACGGTGGGTATGTCAAGCTGTGCAGCACTGGGCACCCAAGGCTACAATCTGTCCAAAAATAACCCACTGCAAAGGAGGAAAGGAATCCTGCACTGAGATGCCCCATTATTTCTATAACTTCATTTCCCAGGAAAAGGCAGAACTGAAAGCCACTTACATGGCTGATTAGAGACAGTTCATTTGGGTGTCTACAGATATTCATGTGCTTGATGTTCTCTCTCCTTTGCTATGGTTGGGAAAATTCCCCCCCCCCAAACATTTTTGGGCAGCATTTGGTCTGTCAAAATTATCTGAGCTAAACCCTATTTATCCTAATACCACAAATGCATAAACAAACACAATTCATCATCTTTAGCCCTAAGCAAAGATGATGAAAGCATTTTACAAGTCACTGAAGGGGAAGGCATGAACCTTTAACTTTGTCAGTTCACTCAGGTTGCTAGACATGATTATCTCATGAGATAATTTTTCAAATTTACATTCAGTTTCATTTTAAAAAAAAATGGTTTTCACATCCTAACAACCAGTCAATTTGCAAACAGACATTCTGGCCACAAATAAACTCGATTTTAGCAAAGCTGTTTCCTGCAAATGCTCCAAGAAGGAGATTTAACCCATACTACATCAAGCAATTTTCACAGGCAATTAGGCAATTTTAATACTATAGGAAATCAAATTGGTTACCTAATTGAATGTAGTTGGTTTCTGGCATTTTTCCTAACAGCAATGGCTTTTTACCTTATCTACCCTTGGATCTTTAATGGTGTATTAGACTCATTTATGGTTTCAGGCTGTACTTAGTAAAATTTAGTTTAAAACTCTCAAGTACTTTTAGGAGTAACCAACTTCAGTTCATTGAACAGCTATGGCTTAATTTACAACAGGAGAGCTCAGCTCTTCACATCTGCTGACAGTCCTCCTCCCTGGAGCCACCCCAAGCACCTCTCCTGTCAGTAAGTTATTCTTAATAAAATGGATAGAACCATCAGATCATCTCCAGTTATGGCCTACTGTGAAGTTTGAGATCTACAGCACGAGCCTAAATGGGTTCATCAGGACTCTGGGGGTTTCTGCAGTGCTTTACTGAAATTCCCAGTGCAGCTGCCCTGTCCATAATACAAATACTGCAGTCTGGCAAATAAACTCCCTTTTATATAACTGCAACACATCCATCTCTTACTCCATGCTGGATCTTCAGGGTAAAGCTGGTACAATACTTTTCTCAGCTATGGGACTGCAAATTACGTTTTCATTTTAGTTGAAAGAGATGGTCAGAACTTGGCAGTGGTTTTGTGAGAAATATGTTTGTTTGGAGCATCTGAAGGAAGCCATAAAAGCATATTAAAAAAAAAAAATCTCCAATGAAACAGAAGGGCAGAAATACTCTGGAAAACTTTGTTTTGAAAAAAAATCCATCACATTTCATATTTACTATTTTCTTTTACAGTCCAAATAACCTGTGACAGTCTGAGCTGCCAGAACAGCCAACATCCCTTCTGGAACAGTTCTTTAAAACTTTGGGCAAATCTGTATCCTCGGAATTTTCATCAGAATTGCTAGGAACTCACAGAGAAACATCTACTTTTTATCTGCTCACACA